GCTTTCCTGTGCTCTCTAAGAACTTCTTAGCCAGCTGTTTCACAATTTCACATTTTTGTGTCTTCTTTTTTCAGAAGTATGTTAACAAGGTACCAAGCCATAAACAAAAGGTATATATCTAGTGAGGATATTTCAGGCATAAAATAGGTAGAGATATTTGGAGCAAAGAATGGGATACCGATAGCCTTTAGTTTATCTTTTTCATTTTTATTGGTACCAGGGATCGAACTCACAACTGCCTGCTTGCAAGGCAGGCACTTATGCCGCTGAGCTAAATCCCCAGCCCTAGCCTTTAGTTTAGATGACAACCAGTTTCTTGAATTATAAGGTTAATCACAGATGGAAACGAATGACCCTGAAAGGACAATACCTCTGAGTACCTAGCGATACTTAGAAAAAGCTTCTTCCTGTCAGTTCTGGGCTATCTCAGTAATTCATCACAATGAGTTCCATCTTAACATGTTCTGCTCTGCACTCAAATTTTACAACTATCTTCCTTTCCAAAATGTAACCTTCCCTCATGCCACTTTCATGACTTCTTCTACTCTTCCATACTACCCACATAAAAGAACACGAGGGAAGGCAAATCACTTCATAGTAGAAGAGTAAAAACCCTTATCAAAGAAATAGATTTATATTCACACTCTTAGAAATATTCTGAATATCCTTGTTCAAGTCCATAAAAAGATTAGAAAAACAATTTTTTGTCTCTACAATGAAGAATACAAGATGATATCTGGACTTCCCAATGCCTCCAGAATTTTGTAATAGTATGTATGATTAAAAGTAAAGATGAAGGCATAAACACAGAGAAACATAACAAATCCCTCACTAAATAAAAACCATATTTGAATGAACAAATTTCCTTTTCATAAAACCTAATGAACTAGAAGATAGTGAGCGTACATCGCAACTCCTAGTATCATTCATCAAAAATTGTGAATGAGTTGCAATGTGATTTATTCAGAATATATCTAATGAAACAACTAAATGAAAAAGATTCATTAAATAATCCATGTTTATCCAGGGCAGGATTTTTCAAACTGTATTACAAAACATATTATTCTTAGGTGTAGAAAATGTTAATAATTCCCTATAAGTAAGTTTCTTCAAAGTTTTTCTGGACTTAGTAATTCACTTCTAAAAAATCAAAATGTGAAATGGAAGAAATAATTTTACAGTGGAGAAAATTTGGATAACACCATTTAACCAAACAATCAAAGTTAATGAGGAGTCATGTTGATATTAGGTAAACATATCCTTAATAAAATATAATGAGAAGGGTACATCACCTCTGTGATTTTTCCCCCCAAATTCTATAACTTATGTCTAATCACAAGAAATTAAATCAGGTAAAATATATGTGAATGACCTTCTAAAAAGTACCTGATCATTATTCCTCAAAACTGGCAAAGTAATGAGAACCAATAAAGACTGAGACTTACAAACCGCACATGACAACTAAAGGCAGTAAGGCTCTTCTCTGAAACAGAAAAAAAAAAAAAAACCAGAAACATTAAATGTGTTGGAAGATAGAATAGGTAAAACTCTTAAAGACATTGGTGTAGGCAAAGACTTTATGAACAAAACTCCAATTGCACAGGAACTATCATAAAGAATTAACAACTTGGATCTCATCTTATTAAAAAGCTTTTGCACAGGAAGAGAAACCACTAACAAAGTGAATAGTCAACCCACAGATATTTGTCAGCTGTTCCTCAGACAAAGGATTACTATAGAGAGCATACAAAGAACTCAAAAAATCAGACCTCCCAAACTTAAAGATCCAATCCAAAAATGGGCATCTGAGATGAATATGCACTTTACAGATGAAAAAAATATAAATGGCAAATAAATATATGAAAACCATTTCAACATCACTGTTCATTCAAGAGTTGCAAATTAAAACACTGAGATTCCACCTCACTCCAGAAAGAATGGCTATTATCAAAAAATCAAGTAATAACAAATGCTGGAGATGCTCTCAGGAAAAAGGAACGTTTCTCCACTGTTGGTGGGAGTGTAGACTGATACAACTACTCTAGATATCAGCGTGGAGATTCCTCAGAAAACTAGGATTGGAGGTCCCATTTGACTCAGGTATTCCCCTTCTGGGCATTCTCCCAGAAGAATTAAAGACATCATACAAGAATGATATATGTGCACCCATGTTTATAGCAGCACAGTTTGTAATAGCCAGATCTTGGAAACAACCTAAATGCCCAATGACCAAGGAATGGATAAAAAAGATGCGGTATTTTTATGTAATGGAGTACCACTCAGTCATAAAGAAGGATAAACTTAAGACTTTTACAGGTTAATGAATGCAACTTGAGACCATACTTATAAGTTAAATAAATCAAATATGCATGTGTAAACATTCTGTTGTCTCCCTACAGTAAGAAACTGAAAGAGTAAATAAGATCCAAAATGTACAATAAACACTGTGAAATGGGAAAAATAGCTATCTACTGATCTCTTGGAGTTCACTGAAGAGAAAGATTTGTGCTAGTATTGGTCAGACAACTAAAGGCAGATAGCTTATACTCTGAATAACTGATTTGAAGATAACAATATGCAATGCATTAAGCATTGTTACCCTCTAATTATTCTGTTTTGAAATTTTGTTTATTTTTTTCTCTTTAAAATAAAATAAAAATGCATTCATGGAAAACAAGTCATAGAAAGTCTGAAGTTAAGTTAACAGTAACACACTGATACTGATTTCCTATATTTGACAAATCTGTCATGGTAATGTGAAATGATAGGATAAGAGAAAAATGAAGGAACCCTTCCTGCACTTTCTGTTCAATTGTTGTAAATGTGAAGTTATTCCAAATAAAAGGTTTATCAAAAATATTTACGAAAAGGCCCATTGTAAAATTCCTTTAGAAACTTTAGGTTAAACAAATTATTTTTTTCATTGTTATATCATTGCTTGAGATTTTGGGACATCTAAAGTGTAATGTGACTTTGACACAGAGTATACACAGTGTTGTATTTCTCAAACATATTTGACCAGCAACATTTTTCATTCTTAAAAAGTATCATTCAATAAAGTGCTGACATAGAAAGGATTTCTCCCAATGTGTCACTAACATCTAGAATGAAGCACGTTCAATTTTTAATCAACAACTTTGGATAAATAGAAAAAAATGCTATGAATATTAAATTATTAGATTTGAAACTAGAGAAGAATATGAGGGGTCAAAGAATAACCATTAGATTATACTTACTAGGCTATGTTAAATGACCAAGCTTAGTGGGATACATGTCAATAAACATATAGTCTATTTTTAGTTAAAAAATAAAGAAAAGGGGTGGAGAAAAGTGATTTTAAATGTTCATCATGTTACAGTGAGTAGCTTTGTGTGTTAAGGGTTTTTTAGTTGAATTAGTACAACTGTCATGCTCAGGGAAGAAGCCTTAGTGGTAGTAAGGAGAAAGGAGATGGTGCGAATCTTAGAAACTAGGTCATAGCAAGAGATGTTGCAAAAACTGAGGATATTTTCCTGATAAACAGAAATCCTTTAATTTGACAGTGGTATAGATATAAGAGAATGGTTCCTAGCTTTCAGACCATCAAAAATCAAAATAAGGACCTAAGGAAACAAAAGGGACCCACCTTTGAAAACCATTTAACTGCCTTATAACAGAATAATGGAATGGGCATCCCTGAAATGAATTAAGCTTCCTCACTCTGAGACTATTTAATTAGAAGCTGGATGTCCACCTGCCCAGATTCCTGTCAGATTGTCTTCTACATGGTACCTCAAAAATGACTTCTACGTAGCCTCCTAGTGGTAAGATCTGAGAATCTATGAAACCACAGGGAAGGAGAAAAAAATGAAAAGCACTTTCAAAAGTGGTAAATCATTACAAATACCTTTTAAAGTACCTTAGGTTGGATTCTATCTTCTAAACATCATTCCTGTGAGTATCTAGAAACTCCCTGAACAAGTACCAGCATGTAGCTAAACAATCAGTGGCAAAATATCATCCTTATGCACACCCAAGAGAATGTTCATGGTGTAGTTTAAGTTATATTAGAGGACAGGGAAGTGATAAATTTATCTAGAACATGTTGTTACTCCAAAAGAAACTTATCAAAATAGACTCATGAATACACAAGTTGATTCTTAAATTTTTTTCTTATATGGAAATAATTGGCTTATAAAAAGAACAATGTGTATAAGTTGAAGATCTGCTGCAATGTTCTATCTAAACTGGACCAGATCCACTTGGAGAAACTCAAGCAAAGCATTCAGGAAACAATAATTAAGGAAGAAAGCTTCCCTCAAATAAAGAATACATAAAGAAACTGTGGGATATATATATATATATATATATATATATATATATATATATATATATTATACTTCAGCCATAAAAGGATGAAATTCTGCCTTTTGCAACAACATGGATAAAAGATTGTTATGTTAACTGAAACAAGGCACATGAATATTATATGATTTTACTCCTAGACCTGAGAGTAGAATATCAATTACAAGAGCCTCAAGGAGTAATGAGGAGAAAGACTTGGACAGAGATTGGTCAGAGGATATGAATTTAAAGAAAGGAACAAGAAATTCTGATGTTCAAGTAATCACTAGGGTGACTATGGGTGAAAATTATGCACAGTATCTTTCAAAAAAGCTATAAGAAAATATTTTGAATGTTTTTGATAATGAAGAAATTATGTTTGAAGAGATAGATACACTGACCCCAATTTGAACAAAATATGTATAATTGTCATGTATCATTTAAAAGTAAGTTTTAAAAAATATTTTTAAAATAAAATAATCATTCTTAAGTTTGTCCAAGTGAAGGGCATGTTAGTCGCTGAGTGAATATCTCTTTAAATTTTGCCTCACAAGGGTCTGCTTACATCATATTTGGCTGTCTCCTGTGATTGGTCAAGCCATCAAAGCCCTGCCACACGTCTTTATTTGCTGTGGCAACAGCTCAGCACAAAGAGTTGGCAGTGCAGTCTGCTGGTTCAGAGCCTGGGGAAGACAGGTCGCGGAAGTATCAACTTCGCAACCGTATGTAGACTCCTGTGCCGGACCAACATTGCTACTACTGGGCAATGTCGGGGAGCCCGGAGCAGACTGGGTCAGAGCCAGAATCTAGAGACTTTCGAACGAATCTGGAAGACAGGGATGATGGTAGTAGAGGCCAAGGCGGAGGCCGAGGTCGAGGCCGAGGCCGAGGCCGAGGTCGAAGCCTTGGCAGAGGCAGCGACAGTGGCTCCTCTGACCAACTAGGGGCTAGGGCCACAGACTTCCTTGGACCACCACTCTGCTTTGGCTTGAAAAACTGTATGGTTGGTGCTGTAATTGGTCGTGGTGGTTCAAACATAAAAGATATTCAGTACACAACAAACACTAAGATACAAATCATATGTGGGGACTCAGAAGCTGAAGTAAAAATTTTTGGTAGCGATTATATGAAAATAAAGGCTAAAGCAGCTATAGAAACATTTGTTAAAAAACAAGAGAGATACAATTTAGAATCCAGTATTCATAACGCCACATCCGAGTCCTCTGTTGATAATGCCACATCTCAGTACCAGGATGAACAAAAAGTAAGCACAAGTACCACTGTTAAGAGAGCTCAACCAGCTATAGATTGGGATCAGATCCGGGCAGCAACTTCAGAGTGGGAACAAAGAAAATGGGCAGATTTACCACCAATTAAGAAAAATCTTTACATAGAATCCAAAGAGACAAGTGTGATGTCCAAAGCGGAAGTGGAAAAGTGGAGAAAGGAAAATTTCAACATAATCTGTGATGATCTGAAAATAGGTGAGAAACGTCCAATTCCTAATCCCACTTGTAAATTTGGAGATGTCTTTGAGCAGTATTCTGAATTGATGGAAAATTTAATTAAGGCAGGTTTTGAAAAGCCAACACCAATTCAGTCACAAGCATGGCCAATAATTCTACAAGGAATGGATCTTATAGGAGTTGCTCAGACTGGAACAGGCAAGACTTTGTCATATTTAATGCCTGGTTTTATTCATCTTATTTCTCAACCAATAACTAGAGAAGAAAGGAATGGACCTGGCATGCTAATCCTTACACCAACTAGAGAATTAGCTCTTCAGGTGAAAAGTGAATGCTCTAAGTACTCATATAAAGATCTTAAAAGTGTTTGTATATATGGTGGTAGAAACAGAAAAGAACAAATAAAAGACATTATCAAAGGTGTAGATATCATTATTGCAACTCCTGGAAGATTAAATGATTTGCAAGTGAATAACTTCATCAACCTAAGAAGCATAACCTATTTGGTAATAGATGAGGCAGATAAAATGTTGGATCTTGGATTCGAACCCCAGTTAATGAAGATTCTAACAGATGTGCGTCCAGATCGACAGACAGTCATGACAAGTGCTACTTGGCCAAAAACTATCCGTCACCTATCCCAATCTTATTTGAAAGAGCCTATGATTGTTTATGTTGGTACTCTCGATCTTGTTGCTGTAAACACAGTGAAGCAAAATATAATTATTACCACAGAAGAAGAAAAGCGATTTCATTTTGAAGAATTCTTACATAACATGGCACCAGAAGACAAAGCCATTGTGTTTGTTAGCAGAAAACTTATTGCTGATGACATATCGAGTGATTTGGGCATCAAGGGCATAGCTGTACAACTATTGCATGGTAACAGAGAGCAGGGTGAACGCGAGCAGGCATTAGAGGAATTTAAAACTGGAGACGTGAAGCTAATGATTGCAACTGATTTAGCATCCCGCGGCCTCAATGTTAATGACATCACACACGTATATAATTATGATTTCCCAAGGAATATTGAAGAATATGTGCACAGAGTAGGGCGTACTGGAAGAGCAGGGAAGAGTGGCGTATCTATAACCCTAATTACTAAAAATGATTCAAAGATTGCCAGCGAATTGATTAACATTCTGAAGAGAACGAACCAGAGCATCCCAGAAGAACTTGAAAGCATGGCAGAAGAATATAAAATTCTTGAACGAACAAAGAGTGAAGAAAAGAAATCAAGAAAATATCAAGGAAAACCCAAGGAGTTTCAAAGTTTAGATTGAAAAGCTGCACCAGGATACTGGAAGATTAAGGACAATTTAAAGATACATAACACTCAAGACATATAGAAGTACTGGAAACATTCTGCCACGCAACCAGAACACCATATCTTAAATAACATCCCTAAGCTTTTAATCTTGTTCGTACTTCTTAATAAAAAGTTTCAGAATGAGAGAGTAAGAAATTATGTGGGGGGAAATTAAATGTTATGTATTAGTTAAGTACAGTTTTTATAACCTGCTATGTCCATCTATATTCTCTAATTATGTAGTAAAAGAAAACTATGTGCTTTTGTTGCTTTAAAGGAATTATACTGAATTGAATCAAAGCTTTTATCAAGCTTACTGCAGTCAAAATGTTCTTTTCTTCCCAATGATTGGTGCCACAATAATTCCTAAAAATATCACCATTATCATCCCCTTGTTTTTTTCAGTTAATTAGAAAATAAGTGCTAAATGTTTAGAAGAATCCACGATTCTCTTTTGTAAGACAGATGTAACCAACAGAGAGAGCAGAGTTTCTGACTCATTGGGAACCAGATACTTACATGAATTTTTGACACTGCCTCAATTGTGGGGCATTTACTCAAGTTCTGCAGGCCTCAATTTTTTTTAAGAGGAAAAAGAGAAAAACACAAAACAAAACAAAGCGGTGTAAGGGTACACGTAATACAGAACTACAAAAAAAAAAATAAGAGTAAGAAATCACCTGTTAATAGATTACATATTATCATCTTGGAAATAGTTGCTCAAATCACAGTATCAAAGAATACAAGGTGGACATTCAAACAGGGAGACTGCAAATAGCTGTGTTCAATAATCCAAAAACATTGATATAGTCAGCTGTTTAACACCCCTAAACACACTTGCTGTTATATCCGTTAGAGCTCTTTTTCTTTTTTTTTCCCTCTCTTTTTTACAACAAAATTTACACATTTTGGATTTTATTACTCCTTAGTGCTTATTACTTTGGGGGGGGGAGAGAATACAGTCAAATACGGCAAAACAAAGCTGTCAGTCAAAACCAAGGATAGACATAGCACATGGTGTAGAACAGAGCACAAGGTTATCAACAATGGTTATCAACGTTGTCTCTTGTTTCCTTAAAAAGAATTGTCTATCTCATTAGATATTTATAAAGTTGGACAAAACAGTAGAGAACAAGACCAATAAAACTTAGGCATTGTAAACATTACAGGACTTCCAAAGAAGACAATAGTCAAACCAGAATGGGCATCTTAGTGAATCTTATTGCCTTCAAAGTAGTTGCCTATGTCTTCAAACTTGATACTACCATACAGAATGGAACAGAGTCTAATCAGTCAAAACAAGATCGTGGGAGTATTACAGGACTTCAAAACAAGTTAATAGGAAATCAAAAAGAGTTACTATTTATATATCCTAATTTTTTAAATTTTTTGTTTAATTAAGACAAACATAAGAAATGACTAAATATTTTTTTAAAAGAATAAGGGGGAGATTGAGATAAAACAGGACATAACAATATAACAATAGAGGTCAAAGCATGACTGTTTCAGCAACCTAGTACTTCACCACCATATAACCCGACTTAATAGTAGTTACCATAGTGTCTGTCTTTTTCCTTGAAATATTTGGATAAAACTTCATATACTCTAGCTTCAAATATTTCCATATCAAGAAGCCCAGAATAAAGCCTTTCTAATTAATGAGTGAAAACTTTATAAGGCTTCAAGGCCACCTAATGGGGAATCATGATTACCACATATTTTTATATATTTGAATCATTACTTACATTAGGGAAACTATTTAGTATTCACACATGCGAGATTGATTTATTTCACTTATGAGTATGGTCACAAGCTGCGCCCAATTATTGATAAATATCTCAATGTGATCCTTCTTTATAGCTGAATAATACTCCATTGTATAGAAATACCACAACTTTTTTATCCATTCCTCAGTTGATGGACACTTGGGTTGTTTCCAAGATCTGGCGATTACAAATTGTGCTGCTATAAACATAGGTGCACATATATCACTGTGGTATGATGCTTTCAGTTCTTCTGGGAATATGCCTAGAAGTGGAATAGCTGGAATAAATGGGATTTCCAGTCCCAACTTTTTGAGAAATCTCCAGACAGATCTCCACAAAGGCTGTACCAGTCTACACTCCCACCAGCAGTGCAGGAGAGTTCCTTTTTCCCCACAGCCTCTCCAGCATTTGTTGTTGGTTTTCTTGATCCTGGCCATTCTTTCAGGAGTGAGATGGTATCTCAGTGTGGTTTTAATTTGCATTTCTCTAATGACCAATGATGATGAGCATTTTTTCATGTATTTATTTGCCATTTCCATTTCTTCATCTGAGAATTGCGTATTCATCTCAGATGCCCATTTTTGGATTGGATCTTTGAATTTTGGAGGTCTGAGTTTCTTTAATTCTTTATATGTTTTAGACAAGAGGCCCTTGTCTGAGAGAGAGTTCACTAAAATCTTTTCCCAGTTTGTGGGTTTTCTTTTCACTATGCTGGAGATTTCTTTTGACATGCAGAAACTTTTTAATAAGAAGTGGTCCCAGTTATTGATTCTGGGAAGTATTTCCCGTGCGGTTTGAGTCCTGTTCATGAATTCTTTACCTACTCCTATGTCTCCAAGGTTTCTATCTAATTTGTCTTCCAATAGACTTAGTGTTTCTGTTTTAATATTCAGATCTTTGACCCATTTAGATTTTAATTTAGTACATGGTGATAGATATGGGTCTAGCTTTAGTTTTCGGCAAATGGAGAGCCAGTTTTTCCAGCACCATTTATTAAAGAGACTGTCATTCTTCCAGTGAACCTGCTTGGCTCCTTTATCAAAGATAAGGTGGTTGAGCGTGTTTGTACTTGTGGTTGTATCTTCTAATCTATTCCATTGATCTTCGGTTCTGTTTTGATTCCAATACCATGTTGATTTTACTACTATTGCTTTGTAGTATAACTTCAAGTCAGGGATTGTGATGCCTCCTGCTTTGTCTTTGCTGCTTAGAATTGCCTTTGCGATTCTAGGTCTCTTCTGGTTCCAGATGAAATTTAGGAGTGATTTCTCTAGATCTATAAGGTATGTTGATGGTATTTCTATTGGGATTGCATTGAATCTGTATAACAGTTTTGGGAGAATGGCCATTTTCACAATGTTTGCTCTGCCTATTCATGAGCAAGGGATGTCTTTCCATTTTCTGAGATCATCTTCAATTTCCTTTTTCAGTGTATTATAATTTTCACTGTATAAGTCTTTCACTTCTTTCGTAAGAGTAATTCCTAAATATTTCATTTTTTTGCTTGCTAATGTGAATAGTCCAGTTTCTCTTATTTCCCTCTCTGTGATTTTGTTGTTCGTGTATAGGAATGCTATTGATTTCTGAGTATTGATTTTGTATCCAGCCACATTACTGAATTTATTTATTGTATCTAAGAGTCTTTCAATGGAGTTTAGGGGGTCTTCTATGTAGAGCATCATGTCATCTGCAAACAATTATAATTTAACTTCTTCTTTTCCTATCTTTACCTCTTTTATTTCTCTTTCTTGCCTAATTGCTCTGGCTAGTACTTCCAGTACTATATTAAATAGGAGTGGTGATAAAGGACATCCTTGTCTTGTGCCCGATTTTAAAGTAACGGCTTTCAATTTTTGGCCATTTAGTATGATGCTGGCTGTTGGTTTGTCATAAATGGCCTTTATTATATTGAGGTAAAGACCATTTATTCCAATTTTCTGTAAAGTTCTTATCATGAATAAGTGTTGGACCTTATCGAAGGCTTTTTCTGCATCTATAGAAATGATCATGTGATTCTTATTTTTGGCTTTATTGATATGGTGGATTACATTTATTGATTTGCGTATGTTGAACCATCCTTGCATTCCTGGGATGAATCCCACTTGGTCATGGTGTATAATCTTCTTGATGATTTGCTGGATCCTATTTGCCAATATTTTATTGAGGATTTTTGCATCTGTGTTCATTAGGGAGATCGGTCTATAGTTCTCTTTTATAGTTGGGTCTTTCTCAGGTTTTGGTACTAGAGTAATATTTGCTTCCAGGAATGACTTAGGAAAGATTGCTTCCCTTTCAATTTCATTGAATAGTTTGAGGAGTGTCGGCATTAGGTCTTCTTTGTATTTCTTGTAAAATTCTGCAGTGAATCCATCTGGGCCTGGGCTCTTCTTGGTGGGTAAGGACTTAATTACATTTTCAATTTCATTAGCAGAGATTGGGTTATTCAACAGTTTTACATCCTCTTGATCTAGCTTTGGTACTTCATATGCTTCTAAGAATCTATTTCTTCTGTGTTATCAAACTTTTGAGATTAGAGGTTTTCAAAATAGGTGTTGATGACCCTCTGTATTTCTATTGGGTCTGTAGTGATTTCTCCTTTTTCATTTCTTATTGCATGAATTTGAGCTTTTTCTTCCCTTTTTTTAATAAGGTTGGCTAGGGGCTTATCGATTTTATTTATTCTTTCAAAGAACCAACTCTTTGATTCATTGATTCTTTGGATTGTTTTCTTAGTCTCTATTGCATTGATTTCTGCTCTGATTTTTATAATTTCCTCTCTTCTTTTGGCTTTGGGCTTGACTTGCTCTTCTTTTTCTAGCTGTTTGAGGTGTAGCATCAAGTTATTTATTTGTATTCGTTCTGTTTTCCTGATGTGGGAACTCAGTGCAATAAATTTTCCTCTCAGGACGGCTTTCATTGCATCCCACAGATTCCGGTAAGTTGTATCTGCATTTTCATTTTCTTTTAGGTATTGTTTAATTTCTTCTTTAATTTCTTCTGTGACCCACTGATTGCTCAAGAGTGTGTTATTCAGTTTCCATGTGTTTGTGGGATTTTTGCGGTATCTTTTATCATTAATTTCTAATTTCAGAGCCCTATGATCCGATAATATGCAAGGGATGATTTCAACTCTTCTGCATTTGCTTAAATATGTTCTGTGAGCTAATATATGGTTTATTTTAGAAAATGATCCATGTACTGCTGAGAAG